CAACATTAAACTTGACAGGTTGGTTCATACATTTTTGTATATTTCTGTCAATAACTGAGTACTGCTAAAACGATTTCCTGTGTCACAAAATGCCTTATCCATATTTGGCAAGTGATCACAGGGGAGTCAGAGGAAATATGTACCCAACGAGAAGCCTGGTGTTTGCAATCATACAGCGACAGGAAACACATCTGCTTTAAAAACTGTTCCTTAACAAAGGGTCAACACCAGGATTATCTGTCACCCCGATGATGATCCTTAGGTCATGTAAAGACAGTCGTGCTGATCTCCCATAGCAACGGCTATTGGTGCTATGACTCCATATTGATGTGTGAGTACTGTTTGCTGGTTTTGTAAAAGATCAAAGATTTTTATTGCAAGTTCACTAAAATCATTTAAGTTCATTTTTTTCCTCATTAATGTACACACAGCACCCCATATTGACAGAAAAACACAGAATTTTTGACATTTTTGCAGATTTATTAAAAAAGAAAAACTGAAATATCACACGGTCATAAGTAGAAGCCATTATGTGTGAACTGTTCATTCAGCTGTTATATATCTTGCTATGATACAGAAATATGGTCATGAGAGTGAAGAAGTGAAGCAACTCTTGACACACACATTACTACAAAGGCACATATCCACACAAACACATTAATTATGTGAATACATAAACAGCTTCTGTAAATGCAGCACAGGAATAATATTAGGTATGCGTTTGTGTGTCTGTCGGGGACAGGAGTGCAGTTTTGTATAGCATATGATGGTGCCACAACACCATCAATTCTATTGTCACTCAGATGATGTTATGAACTCGGTCGCCATCCCCCAGCGGAAATTTCCCTTTAATTAGAAGAGAAAAACACTGGCACAGCAGTCAGGGTTGTGGGGGAGCGAGAAGGTGTGCATGTGCAAATGTGTGTGTGTGAGAGTCTGTGGCAATAAAGTTTCAGTGGCAGAGTTAGAGACAAAGGAAGCAAATGAGGTGAATGAAAGAAACTTTTTTCAGCACTGTATTCAGTAGAGTGGACTCAAACATCTCCACCTACACAAATATTTATATCGAGGGGCCTTATTATCACAGAGGCTACATATTAAAAAGCCTCAAGGTCAGTACTTAGGTCAGTATTGTGACAATTTGATTTGGCATTATGTTTGTAGAGATGCAGAGATTGTTTTCCCCTCCACTGGCTCAGACCTTCCTTGTGTACATTCATGTAACTCTGTAATAGAGGTGGACATTCTGACCCCTAATCTGCTCTCTGCTAACAAGCTCTTTGTTGCTTGTCCTCTATGCAGACTCCCCTGATGCTTCAATTACTCTGGTAATCCTTTAAGTTCTTGCTGCAGCTGTGCTTTTGTACTTCATAAATGTCTCTTGCCAAACAAACAGGCACTGTTTTCTTTTTCTGTTCAGTCATCATAACTATTGATGCTCAACGAACCAGTTCTTCCTGTAATAACTGCAAGAAAACTCAGATGTAAACAGCTTTTGTGAATTACAAAGCTTTAGTTTCTCTGTGTTATAGTAGTCATGTGCAGTGTTTACCACAAAATTACATTCCAATTGTGGTGGTAGCTCAGGGGGTGTCACGTTTTCGTAATTATTTTATTAAATATAGTAATGCTATAGTGCTGTTCATCTGACTTGTCCCTTCTGCACTAGCTCCCTTCTGCATGTCGGCTGCTGCCCTCCTCCATCTCTCTCTTCCCAACCCTCTCTTGCTGCTTCAGCAGCACTGGTTGAAACCAATAAATATTCAAAATGAATCAACTGGATTGCTAATCACACTGATCGGACTGATCAGCTTTCCCACGCGTGTTTGTCAATATTCCCCTGGACAGAGGAAGCAAACATTCAGTGTCAGAGTTTATGAACTAGCATTAACTTTATCCATCTGCAGATCAGTCCATAATAGTTTAGATCTCATTTTACCGACTGTGGTAACTGACAGACTTTACTGACTGCAGCTAACTCATAGCAGCCCTAGAGATCTCACTGAGACTGACAGACTGAAAAATGACTCTGCACCCTGAACTCAGCTCTCGGTTCGGGAGCTAACACTAGCTAGCAGCTGTCTGCAAATAACAAACACTACAGATGAATCCATTTCTGTCCTACCTGCTCAAACAGAACACTAAAGTGGACGATGATACTCTACTGTATGTACAATGTCAATGGCTGAACAACTGATCGAACCCAGCTCTCGAAGGTGACTACCATTATGATCCAGTTGAGCCTGCCACTACTTAACCTCATCAAATATAATGCAGATGCTGTGTGTCAAGCCAGATATCTGCTCTTTGCTTGGGTGAGGATAGGATTCAGGGATGCTTTGTGTTAAGGGTAGGTTACATCTGGAAAACGGTCTTGTATATTTGACGGCATGGCCTGAAACCCCCCATCTTTGGGGCCAAACATCATTTAACTAGTATACTGAGGTTCCATAGGACACAGCATGATGTCATCTTCACATTCTCTATACTAAAGGTAAAGGCCCAATGACAATCAAAGGACTTGCTTGCAGAGGCAAAGTAAATCTAAGTAAGACTGTCATAGCAGTTCCAATAGAAATCAGCAGAAAGAGTATCTCTACTTTTGTGATTTATTCATTGTGAGAGTGATGCCCCTACAGAGAGATGAAAGCTGAGGAAGTGCTATGTAAGTAAATAACCTCTACACCTCTCCACTTCAGCCATTATTCATTAGGCAGTGTGAATGTATGTGTGCAAGAGAGAGAAAGTTGGAGTGAGTATTTATACAAAAGTACAGGGAAACTAAAACACCAGAAAAGAAAAAAGCAAGAAACAAAAATGGAGAAAAGGTGAAAGCTTTTCTGCCACTGTGGTTTTCTACTAAAATGTGTGTAGACATGAGGGCTGATGTTCCCTAAGTGTCTGCTACGCATTAGACCCAGGCAATCACACGCCATCAGGCCTCTGCTCATTAACTGCTTGAATCCTAATTAGATCCATGCCTATGCACTCTCTCTCCCGCACACAGACACACACACACACACACATACATAGGTGCACAGCGCATGCAAGACAATCAGACCCAACACTCAGCAGTGTAAAACAGCTCATATGTTTTACTGCTGGAACATGTAGTACAATTACAGGGACTAATGTCTGACTGGGTGGTCACGTTTGAGATCTCTGGGGCTCTTTTGTGCTTGGATTTGATGTTTTCAGTGTGGGTTTATGCTATGCAGTGTAAGGTGACAGACTGCCAACTACACTGTTTTGTTTTGTTTTAATGGTAGTGGTTGAAGCATTATTGTTGCTTAATGAACCAAGAAAAATTACACATTCGGAACTTGCAGAGCTCATGAGTATTCATCAGCTGTGTTCATTCTCCCTGTTAGTCCTCTCTTTCTGCACTTTTTTTGAAATGTCAACTAATAAAATCTAGATAAGCAGGCATTACACAAACAATAACACCTATTGTACAGGACTTCCAGCACTAGCAGCATTTATAATCTCTCATTTCTTCTTGGGGTTTAATCTAATAATGTTAAATAAAGAGCCCGGAAACTTGGGTGTTGTCTTTTGACAGTCAGATGACTAAAGTTGTGCTATCCTAGTTTGTCACAATATAAAAAATGTTTCAATTAAAATAAAAGCAGCCAGCCATGACCTAAGCATGTGCAAAAAAACTGGCATGATTTGTCATTGGCACTGAATGACGGAATGCAAACCAAACAATGCAGCAGCCAGCAGCAGTACTTTTATGAAATAAAATAAAATATTACTGCAGCAGCTGGATCTTGTAAACAAAACAAGTCACACTCACAGTGGAACATCAGTGTTTTAGTACCCCCTAGGCAGGTTTAACTTTCTGTTTGATGACCATGTGTGCCAACTCAGTACTGGACCAGCTGAAGTCGGTGACAGAGGATCCACTATGTCAGTTTCAAATTCTGCAACCTGAACGCAGTTGTACTAGTAAAATATTCATATGTAATGGGCTCTCTATTTGGATAATCTGATTAATTAAGTGCCTGATAAATTGGGATACTAATTAATTTTTAACATATACAAGTTATAGAAATATACTGAATCAATGACACTGGCAAGACACAGGACTTCAAGTTGTGTACTAAACAAAGGTGACCTTGGTACAGTCTGCCATTTGTCTTCACCACAGTGTTTGTGTTCTGATGTGTCTGTGTGTGAAATATGTGTGAATTGTTTGCCATGCATGGATGCAGGAAGGGATTGCGAAATGACCCACTCTGTTTCAGTGAATCCAAACAGGCCACATGGTGGCAGAGCCTGGCTGTAGCCATCTGGACTGACTGGCAATGCTGGCTAATGGAGCACAGGCTGGAGTTTTGGCTGGCAGGAGGAATCTTCATTTTGGATAATGACTATAGTGATGAAATGGGGTGTACATTTTGAACTTGGCTGTGAGAACATCATGCAGTAAGTAGTTTCCCTCGCTAATCGTGTAACATCTTGGACACTAGAGCACAAACAGCACTGTGGGTGGATGTGAGCCTGGATGACAATGTTGATGGAACTCATAATTAAATGCTGCTGGTAAAATCTCATTTTATTGTTTTGTATTAGTCCAGTTTCTCTGAAGGAGGAGATACAGTTAAGGTACATTTAAGAGCCTGAAACCAATCTTTAAATATAAAGAATAATTGTGTGGAAACTGATAAAAGCCGTGCAATTACCCCAATGTGATCATTGCTATCATCATAATTAGCTGAATGGGAAAAAAAAAATCTGCCACTGCCAGTCAGGGCCATTAATGTAATTAATGATTAAACCAACACATGGTGATTCAACAGTTTGCTCATCTCTTACTCTGGGTTAAGTTATTAAATTTTCCATCAGGTAGTTTCAGTGTTAGTGCATTCTTTCAGTGGCTTACATGAAGGTTTAAGAAAAGAGTAGCAGAATATGAGGGGATATTCTGTTGGCTTTTCATGTGAGGGATAGTTTCCTTTAGTTTAGGCTTGTTTGCCTCTGTGTGTGTGTGCGTGTTGGTATGAGAAGGATTCAGCAGACCTCATTTAAGGAAGGCAGGAAAAAAAACCAGCTCAACAAAAACAGGGTCCCAGCTCCCCACAGCAGGGGAGACTTATTTTTTACTCTTCTCTTTCTCTATTTACCTCTCTCCTTCTGCTTCTTTAATTTGCTTGACGGTCCTTGGTGGTTTGTGACCTTCAGATTTAATTTCCCGTATGCTTTCAAACACACAAACGAATACTTAAATTCACTTAAGTGCAAGCACTTACAACTTAAGAATAAACACATCAAAATTTCATTTTTCTGGTTTGTTATTTCAGTCAAACATAGTCCTACTGCTCTCAAATGCAATAATATTCTGTTTTACCAAATGTAATAATAAGAGGCTGACATTAGTTTATCACACATACGATATATTTATAAGCATATGTAAACTCATAAGTACATTAAACTGAAGTAAATAAAAGCCAAACATGTTTGTAGTAATTTAGAAGCACTGTGACCATTACACAGTTTGTCCATCGCACTGGCAAGTTTATTTTCAGCAGAAAAATGTTTCATTACTAGATATAGCATCTTTGTCCCAATTACATATTAACCAAATTATAAAAGGACTCATATCAAAAATGTTTCCTAATTTATGTTTAAAAAACTAAATTGGCAAATGCATATAATTATTACATTTTTTATAACTCTAAAGCCCCTTTTACAAAGAGACCATGGAAAACTGCCAACATTTTGACCCTTCTTCAAGGCAGCTTTTTTGATTTAAGCTATTTATAAGTGGAAATTGGGAATGCATCCAGTTTCAGGGCAGAGCTACACACACTCAAGGTGCACCTCACCTCAGAACAGGCTGAAGCTGCGTTTTGGCTGCATTCATGCACAGTCCTTTCCAAGAGGGCTGTGCAGAGGTGTGGCTGTGTTTATTCACATAGCGAAACAATCACAAAATAAAACTGTAGTTCTCTGCTTCACCTTGTTCTCACTGACCCAGCTCTCTCAATCTCTAGCTCTCTCTCTTGTTCAACACAGACCTCCGACCACACATTCCACCTTCTCCCGTTCATACAGGAGGTGGGCCGAACTCGTCTCGGCAAAAATACTACCTCTCATTGCAGCATTTTGGTGGGGTCAACGACCCCCCCCCCCCCTGGAAATGTTCCTTTTACACAGAATAGTGTGGCAGGAAACTCGTGGAAAACCCCTGCATTGAATGGGTGGTGTAAAAAGGGTTTAAGATACAGTTTTCATCAGTCAAATTTGTACTTTGAAATTTCCTGGATAACAGCTACTTTCAGGAATTTACTAATAAAGAACATCACAATGCTGACACTGACACAGACTTAGTTTGAGGAGAACAAAAAGCAAAGCATCTGAGGCATCCTTCACGCCCTTTCTGTGACTCATCTACAGCTCGCCTCCCTGTGCTCCCCTCTTCTATGCAAATAACTGCTGAGCAGATGACCTTTTAACTGGAAATAACAGGCAGGCATAAATATGGAAATGTATATATCTGGTGACTTTGACTAACAGGCAGGTGTGCATAATTGTACTATCATTCACCCACAAAGCCGGAAATTTTGGGAGGGTGACTGTGATGGTTGTGCCTAAAAAGAAACACTACCAATCAAAGGTTTGGACACAGTTTCCCATTGAATTCAGTGTGTTACTTACAGACTGTGTGTGTGTGTGTGTGTGTGTGTGTGTGTGTGGACTGTGAAGCATACTGATCAAAGCTCATGCCAACAGGAGGACTGGTATACTATGTCCTTGTGTGTGCCTTTGAACCTGTGTTCCTGTGTGTACAGTATACACATGTATTTACACTCTTGTGAGCGTCCATCTGTAGCTGCACTGGGTCCGGGTCTTTGTCCATCTGTGTATGTCAGCTTACCTTTATGTAACTCTGCCTCCATATGAGCATACTTTTGCTTAAGTAAAGAAACAGACTAAATATTGCATGAAGCAAGAATGGTGATTCCAACTCGGTAATTCTTCCAGTACATTTCTACTTTAATTTGTTTTATAGCAAGGTCCAAGGAAAGGATCATTTCACTGCCAAAGTAGCAGGTATGTAACATTAGCAAAACACAGTACTGTTCAGTTTGTCTCCTTCAAGGGAACCTTCTTCCTAGCCAATCCCAGCCAGCAATCGGGCAAAGGCAGGGTACACCCTGGACAGGCCGCCAGTCCATCGCAGGGTTGACATGCAGACAAACAACCACTCACTGCACACATACACTCCTACGGGCAATTTAGAGACACCAGTCAACCTAAGCTGCATGTCTTTGGACAGTAGGAGGAAGCCGGAATACCCGGAGAGAACCCACGCAAGCACGGGGAGAACAGGCAAACTCTGCACAGAAAGGTCATGAACCTGCAACCTTCTCGCTGTGAGGCAACAGCGCTAACCACCGCGCTGCCCACATGCAATTATTGTACGTGCTAACACATAGTTACTTTGCGTACGTGTTAACACGACACACATCAACACATGCTCACTCTGCGTACACTGCGTTGACCGGTCAAGTACAAGAGATGATTAGGATGTGAACGCCCATGGGAAGAAAACCCCTTTTGTTGACGTTGGTAGCAGGTAACACACCATAAGAACACGCCATGTGTTTTCGTTAGTACCAGATGCTAAACAGTGATTTTTATCTATCAATGCTGAGACACTGGTGGTAGAAGTGGTGCTAAGAATAGGCTACATTAGCAGCATGGCTAACCAAAACACAACAGAAACTCTCAGGCTGGAGACATGAATGAAGCCATTCACATCGACTTGTCAAAAAGTGGCTATATGACAAAAAATAAAATCTAATAATGTAAAAACAAAAGTTTGACTAGAAGAGACCCTACTAATGGCCCTCGAAACTAATAGTTCAACTAGACAGCACTAGTTTAAACATATTTTCATTCTGTTCATCTGTTCAAGTGTCACAGTTTGGGAAGGTTGTGTTAAGTTGCATTAAATTGCCTTTTTTGCATTGTGTTTACATACATTTAGGGCACCAAAAACAGACTAAGCCACCAAATTTAGGGGCTTGGTGACCTGTGGGGCTTGTGATAAAAAATCTATGCCTGGGTATACATATAAACTTTTCTGTATGCACATAAGCATACACCAGTAAAAAAACACATACACTTGCAGACCAAGAAAGCCATTAGCCTTCTATTACCTGTCGCTCTAGAAATGTCAAGACACCATTATGTGGAGCAGTATTGTAGTGTTTGCTCAGCTCACCTTTGGTATTTCCTTTGTTTGCGTCTGAGATGCCAGCGGATCTAGTGTTATGGTAATGTTCATTTTGATAAGCTGGCACTCTGGCTTGATAGGCAGGGCCTGGAACAAAAGGAGCTCCAGCCCCATCACTCCTGGCAGGAAGGTAGGGACACAAAGCAGGCAGAGATAGCACAATGTTGAGAGGCTATAGATGAGAGAGACTGAAGATACTGTGTTGTGTGCGTGCGTGTATTTGAAAAACAGAGACACAGCGTCGGTGGGGGAGGAATCTTGTGACTGTGTGTTTGCGTGTGGGCATCTGTGTGCATCAGTGATAGAGAGAGAGAGAGAGAGAGAGAGAGAGAGAGACAAGGGCCTGCCAGTCAATCATTGCAGACAGCCTATTGTCAGCACAGTATGCCCGTGTGTCTGTAGTGTGCCTTACAGAAATACACAAAGCCTCAAAACAGGCTGATCAATAGCCTATTTAAGGGTAATGAAACACCAGTCAATATCACCACCCACATTCTGGCTCATAAACTGATGACAGCCTCTCACACTCTTTTTTTTTTCCTTTTAAAACTAAATATTACTGATTCCCTCTGTCCATCTGTTATTACTTACTCTTTGTTATTCTCCCTTTACCTCCACTTTTTTCTCACTGTCAACCGCACCAAAAATAATTGTACTGCGGAATCGTGTCTTCATACAATGCATAACATCTTTACCTGATGCATTATAGTCTCCTAAATAAGCCTGTTATCGCAAATACAGTACATAACATGTACCATATTATATTGTGATAAGCATAATGAGACAGTGAGGGTAACTTAAGCTGCCAGTATGCATCTTCAGAAATGCTTGCCAGATGGTCTAATAACTTCAAAAACGTGACATTGGATTTGGGAAGTTTCTGTCCAGCCACTCTGCAACTTTCTGAAAATCACAATCCAACATCCACACCCACGCATATATTTATTGGCCCGCTCTGCAGTGGTGAGAAAAGAGCTTCGGTGTGAACATTTCGCTCAAGCTCTCTATTTTAGTTCTCTCTCTTTTCATGTGAACAACCAAGTGCAACATTATACATTTCTCTCAGGAGAAACTGTTTGAAACTGCACAAATTTAAATTTACAAGTGACTATTCTGGAAACACAGTTAGGTACAATCGGGCACTCCACTCACCCAAGTAGTACTAGACTGTCAAAACCAAATGTCTTTGTAGTGTATAACAAATATGACAGTTCAACACGTTCTCATCCCAAGGTGTCAAATACTGACACTTTGTCAGGCATCTTTCACGTCTCATACAGATGCTAAAGGGTGTTTTTGGCATGAGAATAAGACACACAGGGTTTTTCAGCAGAGAACAATGTTATCCCACTCATGTCACTATGAAACATCAAAGCTACTTCACAAAAGATAAGTAAACAAATTGGCTTTATGAACAAAAACTATGTTTTACCACTAAAGCTGTGGTTAGGTTTAGGGACAAAACCTTCCTGGTTAGGTTCAGGAAAAGATTGTGGGCAAAACTGGACCTCAAATACTGACACAAGTGGGTTATTGAAAGCTCTGTGACACAAAAGATACTTCACAGTATCAGTATTCAGCACCCCAGGAATGAGAATGAGCTGGACATATTCAACTTTTTTTTCCATACATCCATTATTTATATTGCTTATTCCTGAATAAGCAGTATAGATAATGGCAGAAGTGGTAAATTCTGCTCTTCAATCTATATTAAAGAGTCTCCCTGAAAGTTAGTTATATTTTATAAAAGTGTAGTAATGTCTTCTGACATCAGCAAGGGCTGCCTTTATTTAAAATAAGGCACGTGAGGTTAAAAGAGCACAATGCTCTGAGATTCGCGCATCATAATTCATTAATTCATTTGTAATATTTCCATATTAAAAAAGTGTTGTGCAAGTTCGCACTTCACAGAAGCCAGCTCAAAGTTCAGTTCACACATTACAGTTTTTTGCTGTTGCTAACAAGCATTAACCAATACTTAAAATACTTCTAAACTCTTAACACAGCAACACAGTTACATCACACACCTGGCCAAATGGTTCATTTTCGGACCAAAACCACATTTTGTTAAATAAATACAAACTTTACATTTCACAATGCAAAATACCATTTTCTACATATACTAACTTTATCAAAACACAGCAAACCTGACTCATAATTGAGTCGTTTGATCAAAACATTAGCACTAGTTTTCTATCCAACAGGAACATATAGTCAGTCATAGTGCACAGACTGTCAAAATGTAAAAAAGTAATCACTTTACAAAAATGACATTACTTCTCATTGAACTGTATACAATATGAAAACCATCTTTGATATCCAAAAATGTAGAAATACAGTAATTCAGTCAGCCTTACTGTAAACACACTAAAATTGTGTGTGTGGATAAATTTCGTATAGTATATGTACAGTGGAGCCATCAGTACTTTATGGATTATAAAAAAAAGGGCAGAATTGCTGCAGTAAAGGCTTTACGGTATTGGCATTTGCACATTGCTATCAGTAATCACAGAAAAAAGCACTTTGCCCTGTGTTTACAACAATAGACAAAAATAAAACAAAATGACAGACCAAAAAGTCCTAATCTACACGATCATCAGCATTTGGCCACATGTTCTCATCAACATCACACCTTATAATGTCTCTTGCTATGCACCTTGGAAAGAAACGTTTAGAATGCCTTATCCACCCCTGGCAATCTTCAGCTGAGATGTCTCTGCAGCCAGCCTCCATTGCATCCAGAAGGGACATTTGATCATGTGGTCGATTATCATAGACTTTCCACCTCCACGCAGACAAAAATTCTTCAGTAAAATCTCCTCCTACCCAACCATCCCCAGGCCCCAGTCACTACCACTTGTATACTTATACATTCATAAGTTCAGTGGTGTAAAGAAACTATGAACATTTACTTAAGTACTGTAGTGTTTTACTGCAATGAAGAATACTGACTCTCACACAGTTCTCTCCATGCTCTGACTAGACTTCATCATCTATTAAAAAGACTATTCCTGCTATATTTCACTTACAATTTGGGTAAAATTCTAGCAGATATGAATATGATTAAGTTCATTTAGGCTATATGTTGTAAGGAGCTGCTGCACCTGTTGCATCCTGCTGGTGAGCAAATGATTAAAAGATCCAGACAAAACCTGCATAAAAAAATACAACTGTTTGGCAGCAATGATTAGACTATAATGTCCAAAGTTGCAAGACTGAGAGTAAAATTTGCCAATTTCCTTTTGAATAAGGTTCAGCAACATGTAACCAGCAGTCATCCATCCATCCACAGCTGCTGCATACGTACGACAATTCATTGTGACTGACAACTACCAAAACGTATTGATAACTTGCAGCCCGCCACGTTAACAACAGCAAACCAGCCATAAACATGAACATACAGTCGAGCCCGTCTTACCTTGAACCGAATTTTACTCCTCTCCCTCGGTGCAGAAACATCCACACTATAAAGTCCATCCATGGTGAGTCATTTTCCATATGACACCCCTGATATTTAATTGTTGATCTGGTCCTCAGATTAAGTTCATCTTAAAATTCAACTATGCAACCAATGTCCAGTAACGTTATTTTCAAAATCGTTGAGAAATATGTCGGCGTGCGCTGACCTAAAACTAGCTTTCAAGCCAGATGGTGCACGCACTCATCCACAGGTTCAACTCGCAGTCCGCTGCAGTTTTGAACTTGGCGCTACTCACGGCTGATGAAGGCTCACAGTGACACAAACACACCGCTCTCCCAGTTCCAGTAATGTTGAAGGCTTTACATATGTAGACACACTGAAAGGTAGCGGGCCTCTAGTCAAAAAAAGAAGGAAAAAAATCCTGTCAGTTCTGTTTACTGTGGTCACTTCACGTGTAGCTGCTAATTCTGGAGGGTTAGCTGCTAATGCTAACTACACCTTTACCATTGCTTCTTCCTTTTTTTCTTTTCTTCTTCTTCTTCTTCTTCGGTTCTTCTTAGCATATTGGCGAACCAGCATTCAGGTGCATTACCGCCACCCACTACACTGGTATGTGGTACGGATAATTCACAAGAAAGGGAACTTTAGTCTATGTGGTACGGATAATTCACAAGAAAGAACTTTAGTCTCAATTAGACCTGTTTCTTTAAGTATTGAGTTAAGTGACCATGCAAACACCCTGAAAATACATGATCAAAACCCTGCATGGTTATTATTATGTCAGTCACAGGAAATGTAGTTTCTGTCACTGACATTAGCATGGCTAGTGTTTGTAGAAAGAAAATACTCCATAGGGTTGACTCCAAAGATGGGCAACTTCTTTCTTCAGCTCACAGAATATTAGCAATATGAGGTATGAATTGAACAAAGCCTCTCACATTCAGGTTCACTAGTTACAAATTGATACATTCAGTTCAAATGTTCACTGAAAAGTGAACACGTTCATGCACAACACTCATGCTGTGTATGGACCAATTCATTCAGGCTACCTAGATACATACAGTTTTGATCACAGTTTGATCACTAAACTTAAATGTGTTTTTATTAAGCAGAAACTACTTACAAAAAGGTGCAAAAAGTTTGAGCCCACAGTCCGCGTCAACCCCTGAGGTTATGGCAGGTGATGGTTAAGGGAAACACAGGGTGTACTGCTTTTTAGGTTCAGACAATGTGCGGCTGGAACACCACATCCTTCTGAACAGACTGTTGTGCTTTGAACGAGATGCATCTGCCTGCTAATAGAGCGGGCTTGGTCAGATAAAGAGTACTCACCACTAACAAACCTCGGAACAAATTTTAAATTGGCATTGCTTGGATAGGCTGACCACATATTCTCAATCTAAGTGGTAACTTTGCCAAAATGTAATAAAATGGCATAATACCAGTCCTACAGATCAAAATGGTAACAGCTTTGAGCCTAGCTGTAAATGTCTGCCATCGAGCTCTCACCCAGCTGTCGCTGAATGGAGTGCATCGGTCTCCAGCTGTAGGCTCCTTCAGTCCCTGTCTCACACAGTGGGGTGTACTGAGTGACAGCACTCAGTTTCCATTGACAATGAATGGGCAGCTATCACTGCCTATTTTTCTTCATATGTGCTCGGAGTGCTCAGCAGTGCAGCAGCACACATACAGCCAGCAGCCTTTCCAGCACACACAATGGTGAACAATCTTTTAAAATATTCTTGCATCCAAATTATTATACGGATCTGCACCAAAATCTAATCAGTTTTCCGTGGGCCTTACCCTACCTCTCCAAAAGTTTAATCAAAATTTGTTCATTATTTTCTGAGTTATGTTGTTTTCAAACAAACCAACAATTGCCAGCAAAATCATAACCCCTGCTCTTGTCTCCAGCACCAATATTTACTAAACATGCAGAAACTGTTCACTAGTAAATTCACTTGTGTGCCTAGACAAAAAGGCCAGTTACTTGCTACAAAGTGTAAATCAACAAATAGCTACGTAAATATTAGCTTGATGTCAACGAATTATACCTTTTGTCTGTGCTGTGATAATTAGTCACTTCAGAAAGTCTTCAGGCCGTTTGATTTTTTGCACATCTTCTAGTGTTGTACATTTAAATTAGGCAGCAATTTTTGTCCATCACCTGCATTTATTAACACATAAAACTAACTGAAAACATGTCTTTGCAAATTCAATAAAAGTCCAAATCTGATCTCTCATTTACGTTTAGAGCCCAACTGTCACAGTCCACACAGTCTATATTCTAATTGTAACCTTCAGGATCAGGGTTAGAGATAACCTCATACAAAATAGACAGTAGTGTATATATAATTTATTTGTGATAAACTCAGTTGTGTGAAATTGTGTTAAGCTTTAAACCCTCAGAAATACTGGCAGTTCTGTATTTTACATACAGTAGATCATATTTTTGTCTATTTTTACAGACACTATTCAGACATACCGGGGTTAATGACTCACCAGCCATGATGTGATTGGGTTCAGTGCTCCAGTTGTTACTTTTAATCCCCCTTCTAGTCTTAATCTGTCAACGTAATGCTCACACACACAAACACACATGGCCGTGTTGTATCTTCTTACTTGTACAGTGTATTGAAAAGTTGGGTGTATACATTAACACCAATGCTAATGGGAGTTAATAGAGAACAAGACTTGGCTGCTTCTTGCTCTTTGCTCATGTTTTTGTCCACACTTCAAAGTAACTAGTGACGTGTGACTAACTTCAGGGTCTCTGACCTTGTTGTTGTTGTTGTACATGTTGAACTGTATTTTTCTTTTAACCATAAATATCATGTTCTGTGTACCTTTGTTCAGAGCGCTGCTCTAAATATTACTTTTTAATGGCATTTTCTAAACTTGTGGTTCCCAACCTGGAGGTTGTGACCCTACCAAAAGGTCGGGGGACCTTTAAGATAAAAAAAAAACAACACCTGCTACACAGAATTTTGAAACTTTATTCTAGAGTTTCCACAATATTTTTTTCTAGTCAGTTATTAAATAATTTTATCTGGCTGGGCTTGTAAGTATTCAGTTAAGAATCTGAGAAGGGTTAATCACCCTTTGGTCAAGGTTAACACAACCTGTATATATTTATATGCAATCTGCAACAAGGAGTGCATGTAGACATGGATTTATTTTTTTTAAAGCGCTACCACCCAGAAAGGCTTGGATCAATAGTTCAATCTGTACTTGATGCTTGAACATACTTGTAAGAAAACCACTGGACATCATATTTTGGTCATTTTTCCATCCTGTGGATATGTGACTGTCTTATCCGATCATGTCTTACTTGAATGTGTAGAGGATGTTTTTTTGTGGTAGAATAGAGGAAAAGAACAATTTTGGTTGGTGTCATGTGACTCATAGGTTTTATTAAGTATTCGTACTGAAAGCAAACTCAGTTGACCGAATATTTTGGGTTCTGGAAATGTAAGAACTGGTCCAAATTGGATCTGGATATGTACTGTACATGTTTTTAATATGTCTCAGCTGAATTTTAGTGCATCTGTATCACAATGTGTTTATTCTTGGAGAGGACGTCAGCAGGTTTTTATATTGCGATCAAACGGATCAGTTTCAGCAGAACTGGTTGGTAACAGGACTGTACAGTATATATGTTAATGTCCCCTTTACTCAGCTGTGTGTATTGTATGAGGTTAGCACTAATAACTGTGATTATGAAATGGATGATTTTAAATAAATAACTAATGAAAGTACCAGGATTTTATTAAAGATAAACATAATTAATGGATCATGGTGCTTTTTGTCTACTGGTATGAGTGTAGAGTAGTACATAACTGCTGCTTGATTTTTTAACCATGTTAACTCTATTGTTCATTTAAAGCTATGAACCTGCTCCAGTGCAGTTTCTCTGCGTGACCACTGGGAGGCAGCACGAGTCTTTTTGTGCCACTGGAGCCCTCAGAACATGAAACCTCCAGATCTTTGCTTCTTTTTTTTATTTATTTATTTTTTTTTACAAACACCAGATTGAAGGCTCTCACAGAAACACAGGAACACGTGGATTTATTTATTCCTCAGTTTAAACCTAAAAGAAAAGCCTTGGTTTTTCTTTCATTCCAACCAGATGTAGGGACCTCAGGAAGAGTAGTTGATGTCTTAATAAAATAAAATAAACAAGCCTCACTTTCTGTAGCATCACACTTAGTCTTTTTCTACTGAACATCTCTGTTTTTTGTCAGGCCTGACCAATAATAACAATAATGAAGTTAATAAACACTTTGTCAGAGAGTCCTAACAAGCCAGATACTTGAGCCAAACCAGTTCAAATCAATACCAATAACAATCCATTAGTCCTATTTAGAGAAGATTTTTATTTCGCTGTTCCACTGACACAAATTTCTATATTACAAACTGAAGAGAAACATGGTAACAGGTTTCAAAAGCAACTATGTGTTTTATAATTAAAATGATAGTTTATGAACCTATGCTTGTTTTTTAAATGAACAAAAGATCAAACCGTTATTTGTTAATATAGGAGTTGAGAGAAAGTAAGAACACTGGTATAAATTTTTAGAAGGATTGTTTTTCTCATCCTTATACTTGAATTCTAAGTTTTTGCCAGGACTGTTTAGACCAGGTCTGGATCCCCCCTTTTTAAATTAAATAATGCTAATAAGCCCCGGCTGCGAGTTCCTTTCATCACTATTATTTCTGACCTCAATAATGAAAGAACTGTAGATTGGTCCTATTGCAGAGATGAGATGTCAAAACAGAGAAAATACAATAATATGAATTCTTTTGGGTTTTGGTATTTTTCTGAATGTCGACATGTGTAAAATAGAAGTTTTGTTTTAGATGAAAAACTGAGCATCTTGTATTGTTACGTTTCAAAGATATGGGTGAGGAGTGAGAACATGTGCAGTAAAAGCTGCTACAACAAAACCACAGCACCAGAGAAGCTTTGAGGGACAAGGTCAAACGCACACATGCAAACACAAGATGCATTTACATGAGCAAAGATTAATACAATGGAGACAGAAAGGAGCAGGGAAATTGACTTTTAGCTTCTGGTTGTCTCTTTTTTAAACGTTTTTTTTAGTGAATATAAAACCATGTAATCTTTTCCTTTCTAGAGGCAGCACCTGTTCCTGTTGTTATGTGTGAAAGCGTCTGTTGATTCCTCCCTTAAAGCATGATAAAACGTTCCCTCACTGCACCTCTGTGTGTCTGAATCAATCATGTCTCCACTTAACTTCAGAACGTGTTTATCTTTGGGGTGAAAATGTGGCTTTAAGCCCACCAAGAGCCGGGGTCTGTCGGAGGTTTCTTCCATTAAAGGGAGTTTTTCCTCCCCACTGTCGCCAAGTGCTTGCTTGTTGGGTTTTCCCTATGTAATAATATTGATAACAGTAAGGTCTAGACCTTACTTTGTAAAGTGTCCTGAGATGACTTTTGTTGTGATTTGGCGCTATACAAATAAAATTTGATTTGATTTGATTTGATACCGCAGCATCTGGTAATCATCTTGAGATTTCAGTTATGTTAAAGATAAACCATTTCATAATT